ATGCTCTTTGTTACAAAGAAATTGAGACATGATGGATAACCAGCAGTTACAAAGAAAAAAATAGATACCACTGTTTTGTTGCAATTAAAAATAATGTGTTTTTGTTCTTGTTTTTGTTTTTAAAGAGAGAATGAAAGGCCTAGAAGTAACAGTTTAAAAAAAAAAATCCCAAAAATTAAGCAGTATATTTGTGGGGAGATTAGATGTCAGGTTTGTGTAGAAAAGAGGAGCAACTAACTAACGAGGCTGGAAACGTGGAAGACAAGATTACGCAAGTCCATATAAATTCTGATGCAGAGTTTCTCTTTTGTTTTAAAAATCATGTTCATATTTATCAGAGTAATAAACATATCTAGTAGAAAAATGAGTAGTACCAAAAGCTCCATATTAAGAAAAATTAACATTCCTATGCCCAAGCACTTTATATGCCATGTTTCCTGCTCCTATAAGCTTAATAATCAACCTGATTGATTTCTCTGGCATTAACCTTACATATCTACAAAAGTGTTAATAGTCAGTTTTTCTGACTATTTCTTCATTGTCAATTCTTGGCAATATTTATCAATTTTCCACGTTATACCACCAACTCGCCATTTCGTTTTCCCATCCAACTAATATAACTTTAGCAAGGTTTTCATTAATGTAATAGTTGTACCTACAAATATATTATTTACTTCAGAGCAATAGCTTATTATGATTATAATTTTTTCCCGTAAAGGTTTTTCCCCTATAATCTATAATTGCCACGGTATCTATCAATTACATAGCATGCTTTTAATCTATCACATATTTCTATGTATCTACCTTGTTTTTTCTTCAAATGCTTTAGCAGATCTGTCAAATGCTTAGTAATATCTTTTCCATACGTTCCAACATATCACTTTAAGTTACTATTTTTTTTCCTTTTTAGTTTATATAAGTCCCTTCCAGGGTAACCTTTTCCTCTATTCTGATGTTTTCAATATAAGTTTCCTAAATATCAAATATTCTTATTTTTTTGTATTACTCTTATTGCCAACAGCTTTCTACAGAAAACAGAATAAATTATTTATTTGTGTTTCCTTACCTAAAAAGAGGAAAATCTTTTTAATTTATCCTCATGCTTGATTGCTAGTTTAGCTGGGTATAGAATTTCAGGTCAGAAATCAGTTGCTTTATAATTAGAAGGTATGGCTTTTGCATTTTTGTCTAGTATTCCTGTTGATAAGCAACTATAAATCTAATCCCTATCTTTGTATGTATTTGTGTATATTTTTTTGGTTGGTTTCTTTCACTTGAAGATTTTGATATTTTCTCTTCTATATTCAGAAGTCACAATTATTTGTGTGTGGTGTATGCTTCCTTCATTGTGATGGTCACTTGGTGGGTTCTACTTGGAGTCATTATTCCTTACTTCTGAGAAAAAAAAGGTATTTGAAAAATTTCTTCTATTAGTTTGGTTCTTTTCTCTGAAATTCTTGTTACTTGGAGTGAAATTCTAAGGTCTCATCATTTTATTATTTCCTTCTCTTTTGTGTGTTATTGCTTTTTAGAATATTTCCTTAACATTATCTTCGAAACCACTTCATTGAATTCAATTTTTATTAAAATTAAAGAAAGGCACAAAGATCCTTGGGTAGAGTAATCAGAAAGCTTGGTAGGAAATCAGAGGAGTGAGAATAATGAAAAGATAATCGATAGCACAGATAAGTGGTATTAAGTGTTCAAGAGAGATAACAACTGATAAAAGGCTATTCAATTCTCAACAACAACAAAAGATAATCAGTAAATTTAGTAGAGCATTTCAGTGGAATGATGGAGGCAGCAATCAAACCACAGTGTTGTGGGAAAAGAACAATGAGTGGGTCATGAAGTAAAAGAGGAAAACTGATAAAACTTTATAGACATTCAGATATTAAAATTAAAAGGTAATTACATATCTTATTTTGCATAATATTTACAAAACTCTTAGGATTAGGTAGGATAAGCCCTCAGTATACTACTGTCACTGCCAGCATAAAATGATGTTTTATATAGGAATTAAAATTGTTTCTAAATAAAATATTGAAAAATATTTATTAATATATAACAATATTATATTGTATATTAAATATATTTATTACTATTAATAGCACATATATGTGATCTTTGTGACTGTCTTCTTTTACTTATCATGTTTTCAGGGTTCCTCTATGTTGTAGCATTTATTCATAGTAAGCCCTTTTTTTTAAAATTTTTTAATGTTTTATTTATTTCTGAGAGAGAGACAGAGAGACAGAGAGAGACAGAGAGAGACAGCATGAGCAGGAGAGGGTCAGAGAGAGGGGGAGATACAGGATCTGAAACAGGCTCCAGGATCTGAGCTAGCTGTCAGCACAGAGCCTGATGCAGGTCTCGAACTCATGAACTGTGAGATCTTGGCCTGAGCCAAAGCCAGATGCTTAACTGACTGAGCCACTCAGGTGCCCCTGTAGTAAGCCCTTTTAACTGCTAAACAAAGTTTCATTTTATGGATATGTAGCATTTTATTTATCCATTCATCAATTGATGAATATTTGAATTTTTTCTACTTTTTGCATATTATGAATGAATTACACTGCTATCAACATTCATGTACAGGTTTTTGTGTAAACACATGCTTTCATTTCTCTTAGGTATAGAGTTAAGTAGTAAATTTTCAGGCTTGTATGGTAGCTCTATGTTTAACCTTTTACAGAACTATCTAATTCTCAAAGTAGCTGCATGATTTTACATTTCACCAGTGGTGCTTGAGAGCTTCACTTTCTCCACATCCTATCACACTTGTGATTTTTTTTATCTTTTTGACCTAATTAACAAAAGATGTTAATTAAGGTGACTCTAAACATACAGCTAGTATACACAAGAACTGGAATTTAGTCAGATGCCTTGTGGCAACTTAAAAGTAATGCTCTTTAGCATATTGCTATATTGTGGCCAGTGTGTTTTATTGAAACAAAAGGGATTTCATTATTATTATTATTATTACTATTACTATTATTGGTACTTTGATGTTAATGAATGAATAGCTAATAACTGTCAAAGGCATTATTTTTCTCACTTGTTCTAGTTTCTAAAAATATAATGCTATACATTTATCTTTTAGATTGTATGATTCCTGAAAAATTCAAACTCCAGTAATTTCAATTTTTACAACAAATATAAAATTTATAGGAGATGGTTATAATTTGGAATCTCATTTTGTGAAATCATATTTCATGTTATATATCAATCAGAAATAATAAAGATCTTAGGCTATATATGGCTATAATTTGACCTAGTCACCAAAATATAAAGTGTAAAAGTTCTAGTGTTCAAAATTCTAACAGTATGTTTGACAAACAGAAAACCTGGTAGATAAATGGCTATAATTTTAATAGGTAATAGTAATATCTAGTACATCTTTTCTTATGTATTGGATCAGCAGTATCCAAGCAAATATAAAGTAAAATGTTAATCCAACATAAAACAATTACATACTCTTTAAATAAATAAAACAAATCAATGGCCCACCCAAATCCTCTCATTTCCAGTTGATTGTACATTAATTGAAATGGTTGGTTTTATGCTGACAATTGATTTTTTTAATGAAATGGCCAATAGTGAAGTCAGCGCATTTATACCACACACTCTAGAAAGCAGCCTTCCATTGAATTTATTCAGACCAGCTAATTGCTAAATTAGATGACCATTCCAACTTATTGAGTACATTTCAAATACTTTCTTCTGAACCAAAAGATAACTAAATGTGTTTTGGTCACTACTGCACTTCTAAATAAAATCAAAAGGTGTCTATCTTTCTGGAATATTAATATGGGGAAGCATGGGGAAATGTCACTGGTGTGTAATGGAGATGAATCAAAGTACTGTGGTGAATTCTCTGAGCAAGAGAAGGAGTCTGTAGAAGTGAAAAAAAAAATTCACAGAATCGGCTGACACCACTGACCATTCAATGGTGATTAACTGGTTCTGCATCACTCTTATAAGCTATTACCAAAAAGAAAAAGTTTCCAAAATGTGTATTAGAGTTAGTGTTTTAATGAAAAAATCTTAGACAGTTTTCAGAATTCAGAAACTTTGACATATTGTGTTTTAAAAATCTTGTTTATTTTTTTGTATCTATAAACACTAACCTTGTAACTGTCCATTAAGATTTAAATGAGAGCTTCTCACTCCATTACAACTCTAAAGTTACTATATATCATATTGGTATTCTAGAAACAGAATGGGAAAAAAGAAAACAGGTAATTTAGCAGTCTTTTTCTACATGAAATAAGAGCGTCTTCATCTCTGCTTGAACCTAGTACATTATGAGTATTGAAAAACCTATTATAAAATGTCTATTTAGTTTGTAGTTTTAAGCAAATGGTTATGATTATTGCTTTTTCTCACATTTAAAAATCAAATTTATTTTACACATGAAGACGTATTTCTAAGGAAGTTTTAGTCCCTCTATAAAAGGGATTCATTAAATGAATATTTAATAGAAACTGATAATATTCTCTTCTGTATTGGAATTATGAGATTTGAAGAAGTAAAATGTTACTTAAATCTACAACTTTTAACAACACTATAGCATACATTGGTTTTGCAATAAAAGAATTATAGAAAATTGCTGTTATATTACTTTTTATGTTTCACATTGAAAGTAGGGAAAGTAATTTCTAAGCTGTGGGTCATTATAGTTTATATCTAATCATGCTCAACAGTTAGGTTTTAAAAGCTGACATCACTTTTTTTTAAATGATAGATGTTATTTAATATTTAAAGATAAATTGCTATAAAACTGTGATTTTTCCTGCTGACAACTCTGCCCTAAACAAACTTAGTCAATATGAACAACAAGAAGTTTTAAAATAAATTTGCTAAGAGATGAAATCTGAATTAAAGTTCTAATACATTTCCTCAGTCACTATACTAAGAAGAATCCAGTATTGTTTTCAGTCTATTCTCAAGGGCAATTTAGTCCGATGCAAACATCTAAGAAAGTTCATGATAACCCTTTAGAACTTCTCTTCTTCTTTTATAAAACTTCTCCTTTTATAAAATTCCTCACCGTACTCATCACAGGTAATTTCCAAAGATATGTCTACCGGCAGCAGCACAGGCTTTAAAATGTAGAAAATTCCTGGCAAGTATGTTAGTACAATGGCTTCTCCCGAGAAAGGGGTCAGAATCACAGAAGGCTGAAGGCCAGGCACGATTTTTCCCTTTTCTTCACTGTTCTTGTTCCCAATTCAGAAGGATTTAAAGAGGCAGTGAGGGGATTTGAAGTGCCTGAGATATTCCCCAACGACCAACCTATAATCTATAAGTCTCCATGTATATCAGATTTTCTGAGCAACTTATTTTTTGTCTTGGTAGTTTTTAAAAATAGAGGGCTTGTTCTAAACAAAATAAAATTAAAGTTGTTTCTGCTAGTATCTTTCTCTAGGAAGCCTTGAAACTTTTTTATAAACTCTTCTAATTTTTTAAAAATGTTATTTATGTTTGAGAGAGACACACACTCACATCCATACACACACCCACATCTATACATACACACACACACACACACACACACACACACACACACACACACTGAATGTAAGACAGGCGGCTGCAGGCTCTGAGCTGTCAACACAGAGCCAGACCAAGGGCTTGAACTCAAGAACTGCAAGATCATGACTCAAGCTGAAGTCAGATTCTTAACTGACTGAGCCATCCAGGCACCTCTGAACTATTTTCTAATTAAAATACTTATTTTGGCGATACTTGGAGTACCTGTAGGTGACACTAGCTCAAGCTAACATTTCTAAAGGAATGCTACTTTGGTCTCTAGAACTCCATGTGATTTTCCCACCACCCACACATGGTCGCTGCCAAGTTCCCAACTATTCCTTCAAGATGCTGAGAAAGTTGACATATATCCTGTGCGTTGCTTCATGTATAAATTCTTACAATTTTCCTGGATACAAATTTAGCAATATTTATTAAAATACTTAAAATTATGAATGAACAGATTCTTGGTTATAACATCTTGAAATATATCACAAGGGGAAAAAGTTATAAAAAGATTTATATATAGAAATATTCCTATTAGCAGTATTTATTATTGTGAAAAATTGGTAACAACCTAAATATCCAACTTCAGTTTTGGATTAAATAAAATTATAGTCTTTCCATACGATAAAATCTTATACAGGCACTAGCAGCCACATTGCAGAGTATTTTATTTCATGGAAACAAAATGTTATGTGTTGTTAGGTGAGTACTTTGTGACACAAAATCAAATGTACTCTTTAATCTCACTCGGTTATGCTAAAAATATCAAAGTATTGATCTAATTACATGTATACTTAAGTCTAGCAAAAGCCTAGAAGGCTTATTTCCTGAGACTGCTGGTTATTTTATAAGCATAAGTAGTTTATTGTCCACTCATTTTGTAAAATTTTCTAAAATAACACAATTCAATTTCTTATAATGGACATTGATTATTTTTCAGTGAAAGAAAAGTTAATGTTACTAAATACCTTGTCTGTCCTAGATCAACTCTCTATCTACACGTATCACATACATTTAATAAAAGCTTTCTCCTTTCCTAGACTTTCGGAATATACATCTTCCATATGATTCTGCTGTCTTATATTATCCTTTAACAGTTTTTGTTGTGAATTTATTCTCTAACAAGAAGGTGGCCACCTTGCAGTCCTATGACTTACATATTATCTAACGCTGATGCTCCCAATTGTGTACCTCTTGTTCTGTGGTTGCTCCTGAATTCTGGATGTTTCCCTTGGGAGTCTGATGTATTTCAAATGTAACAGAGCCATAATTTCCAATCAATTCCAACAACTATCCCCCAGACTGGCTCCACTTCCAGAATGCCTTGTTTCACTTAATGACACTACACCCCACCCAACACAGTTATCATCCTTACTCTCTCTTTCTCAGTCTCATTTCCAATCCATCAACAAATCCTGAGTAATTCTTCTCCTATTTATCTAAATCTCCTGCTTCTCATATGCCTTCTCATATCCCTGCCATTCTTCCTATTCTAGTTCCAATCACTACAATCTTTTGCTTTTGCAACTTTCTTCCTCTATTTTTGTTCTTTTTCCACTTTTGGTCCATTTTCCAAAGTGAAGCCAAAACTACTTTTATAAAACATTAATTATATTATATCATCTTCTGCCTACAGTCTTTGGTTTCCCATCCGTGTAAGGATAAAATCTGAACTCTGCTGGAACTACCAAATCTCCTTAATTCAGAATCTCTCTCTCTCACCCCTTAACTCACTCGGTTATGGCCACATGGGCTTCTGTTCCTTCTTTGAATACAATAAATTATTTGTGCACAGATCCTTCGTATGTACTATTCTTTTTGCCCCCAACACAGCTCTCCCAGATTTTCCTGATTCTTTTCTTCTTCTTCAATATCAACCCAAATATCCTCCTTTTTTTTTTTTAATGTTTTATTTATTTCTAGGAGAGAGAGAGAGAGACAGCGTGAGCAGGGGAGGGTCAGAGAGAGAGGGAGTCACAGACTGAAACAGGCTCCAGGCTCCGAGCTGGCAGTCAGCACAGAGCCCGACGCGGGGCTCGAACCCACGAACCGCGAGATCATGACCTAAGCGAAAGTCGGACGATTAACCGACTACGCCACCCAGGCGCCCCCCAAATATCCTCCTTTTTATTTTTTTTATTTTTATTTTATTTTTAATTTATTTCTAGGAGAGAGAGAGTGAGACAGCGTGAGCAGGGGAGAGTCAGAGAGAGAGGGAGATACAGACTCTGAAATAGGCTCCAGGCTCTGAGCTGGCAGTCAGCACAGAGCCCGACTTGGGGCTCGAACCCACGAACCGCGAGATCATGACCTAAGCGAAAGTCAGACGCTTAACCGACTAAGCCACCCAGGCGCCCCCCAAATATCCTCCTTTTAATGGCCTCCGCAAACACACGATTCTTAAGTACCTTTTTGTACCTCATCCTGTTTTGTTTTCTTTATAACATTTGTCAGCTATAGTTATTGTACTTGTTACTAAGGCATTTAAAAAGTACCACTTCTTAAAGTAAAATTCCTACCCACTTGTCTAGTTAGTGACTCTAATTGTAGAGGTTACAGGATAGGAAATGAGGTAAAATGACAGGCCAAAAGAAAGGTGTTTGGTGGTTAATTGGATAGAACCAATTTTTGCTAATAAATATGGCTAGTTTATTTCTACATATTTACATAGGAGGAAAGGACAAGAGGAACATTTACTTATCCATATGATGAGAAATGCCATTTTAACTGTTAAATGCACTTAATATCTATTGCAATAACAAATAGATTGAGTTCCAGCCCAACACAAATAAGTGATCATCTATCCATAGATTAGAATTTGAAATATATTCCTACTTCTACCTACTCCCTTAGTCTCACACTACTCCCAAATTAAGAAGTTATCACTTATGGAAGACAATTTTCTGAAACTCTTCAGACCTGACACCATGCCAGGTCTTTATAATTGCCCCTTGTTAGCTACCAGGGTACACATGTTATCATCAATAGTCAGAAGTCCGGCAAAAACAAAAATGTTCCTTCATCTCCAGAACTGCCTTAGGAGAGAATGTTCTAAGACATTAAATGTGAATATTTTCATGCCATCCATACAAAATATGACTTTCTGCTATCTTCTATAAAAATCTAAATTTCAGTCATCATCCTAGTAGACTTCAAAAAGACCTCAAAAATAGCATCTTATATGATATTCTCTTATACTCCTAGAACAAAACTTAAGCAGGAATAACTGGAGATCTTCACATTAATGTAAAGATGAAAGAATGGGACTCAATTTAACACAGGGGTTAAAGAAAAAAATGGAATTATTTCCCTCTGCCATGTTGGAAGGATATAGCTTTAAATTTACGAAATAAGAAGTCAGTGATGTTGGGATGAAGGGACAACATATCAGTGAACTCGTTTCCTAAGAGTTTTTACAAACCTTTATATTTTGAGCATCTACTTATTTCCTTGAGAATATGTTTTCTTATATCTGTATACTCTTTCTATATAGCAGTTCCATCCTTTTTTTTTTAAATTTTTTTAAATGTTTTATTTTTTTCTAGGAGAGAGAGAGAGAGACAGCGTAAGCAGTGGAGGGTCAGAGAGAGATGGAGTCACAGACTCGGAAACAGGCTCCAGGCTCTGAGCTAGCTGTCAGCACAGAGCCCGAAGTGGGGCTCGAACCCACGAACCGCGAGATCATGACCCAAGAGAAAGTCGGACGCTCAACCAACTAAGCCACCCAGGCGCCCCCATCCTTTTTACATATAACAAGGTTTCCATCATGTATATATTCCAGAAATTTTGAATGCACACCTACTTGACATGTGTATCTATGTACTTCTACACCCATGTGCCATTGCCCTGTTACATGTTTTACCCACTTTCCTACAACCAAATAAATTAACATAATAAGACAGGATGAATATATATTGAAGTTCTATTTTCCTTTCTGCCTACAGTGTATTGGCTTATTCACACTTGGAGACTGCTTACCCTATTTTGGAGACCACTAAAATTTTGCCTTATCTTAAGGACAGAAACCAATTCATATTAAAGCTCTTTTGATTTTATGATCAGTGTACACAAGAATTGCTGAATAATCTAGATCTGCACAGCTTACTACACCTTATTACAGTGCATGATGTTAGGAGGTGCCAGGTCGGCCAAGGCATTTGTTCCTCCAGCCACAGGGAACACGGTTGGCTGCTGGTGATTCAGAGCTGAGTTAACACACCCCCACCTCCACCCTAGTATCTTTCATCCAATTTCTGGTCCAATGATCCAACTCCTCACCCAATGGAGGCCAACCTGAAAGGTTGGTAGGCTCCAGAATTCCTACTGGATTCATATGAGGCTTCCATCACACTCACAGTACAGTTCAACTGATCTCTCTCTGTAAGATGCTACTTCTCTCAGTCTTTTAATGATGATAAAGGCAGCCTGCCAGGAATCTCCTGCACAGAAATCTCTGTCCCAATGTCTCTTTCCTGGGGAACCTCAACAATTACATATTGAATTCCTAATAAATCATTTATTGAGCCACTGGAAATTTAAGAATTAAAATAATATTCTATATTCCCCCTCCTGAATGTCTGAGTGACATTTACTGTTGGGCTTAATATCACTGCTTCTGAGGACAACAGGCTTTGTCCATCTTGATCTGAGCCATCTGCTTCAGGCTGTGGTCTAGCTCATACTGCTCACTACAATGCCTCCTTCAATGTCACCTTAGCCTCTGACGTAATCCCGATACCACTCAGGTTCAAGAAATGTCTGAGCACTTGGCCTACTAACAGCATAAAGCACGTATTTACTTTACCTGGGAAGTGTCTCCCTGAGGTAATTGGTTTATCCCACTAGAGGCAGTGAGGTTTAACTCACTAGTAGATGTGACACCACTTTTCTCTTACATTTTTCTCAATGGAATTTAACTTTTGGTTCTGCCATCCAGGGTGAGAGCTCAGTTTCTCCAGTACACCAGTCATAGAATAAGCAAAGTGCCATCATTGCCTCATGGAAGGGAGAAATGTTGGACACAGGCCTTGATATTCTCCTTGAATTTTCTTTGATGAGGACAGAGACTTTCACAAAGGTGGAATCCTAAGAACAGGCCCTACATAAACTTAAGTTTTGCAGAGCAACTATGAAAAGCATCCCAGTGACTCTAGAATATTTTAATATTAATAAAAAGTCAATACTATGTTTAAATTAGTTTCTGACGTAGAATATTAAAAATAAGAATCGACTATCCATCCAAGGTTCTACTTAGAAAAAGTGAAAATAGGGGCACCTGGGTGGCTCCGTCGGTTAAGCGACCGACTTCGGCTCAGGTCATGATCGCACAGTTCATGGGTTCCAGCCCGGCGTCGGGCTCTGTGCTGACAGCCAGCTCAGAGCCTGGAGCCTGCTTCAGATTCTGTATCTCCCTCTCTCTCTGATCCTCCCCTGCTCACACTGTCTCTCTCTCTCTCTCTCTCAGAAATAAAAAAAATTAAAAAGAAAAATATTAAAAAAGAAAAAAGTGAAAATATATGTACAGATTGTGATAAAAAACAAACAAACTAGTAACTAGGAAATACTCCTTTTTACCCCAACTCCAATAAATGAAGAATGGAGGGTGGCCTTCATAGCATGTAACATAATATTTGATTCTAATTAAAAGATTAGTTCCGTGAAATATTCTTTTGATAGAAATTCTCAGGCTTCATATGCTATATATTAAAAACAGCAGTATATATTCACTTGATTACATCTTATTAAAGATAAAAAAGATGTATTTCATGAACAACCACGTGGTATGTTATAAGGTAACATGTAAAAGGTGATACAGAAAATAAATACAAACTGCATATTATTCATTTACGACAACTTTTATAGGAAATGGAGCAAAAACCTTCACAGCAAGGCTCAGAGAGTTGCCTGAAAAGGGACTTCAGCATCTTCCCTGTTCTGCGTTTCCTCTAATTGTCACATGAGTCCCCTTGTCTAAAGCTTATTCATTGCGGATGAAGCTTATCCTGATATTTTCATTATATATTAAAATGCTGAGGCTATGTCTCCTTTTCACAGATACAGATTGTCCTCTGTATGAAAACCCCTCAACCAAAAGTTGCTAAAACTCTAGGTACAAATAATTTATTCCAATACTCACTCTTAGGTAGGACTATCAGCAGTAACAGATTTGTCACATGTAATGGAAAGTGATCACCTAATATTTCTCATTGATTATACCAATAAATACAGTGTCAGCGCTTACCTGAATAACATGCTTCAGTTTATCAATAATTTGATTTATCACAGGATCAGTTCCTTTAACTTTGACTTCGGGATTTCCAGATTGGGCTTTGATTCCATTTCCAACCACACGCTGAGTATAGCTAACAAAGTGAAAGGTTGAAGATATATGACTTAGTAATCTGGTCAGAATACAATCTTTCATAGCCATTTGAATGTATTTGAGTTCAGAATATCACTTCTTTAAGGGTAAATGACAATATACACTGGCATAGCTGCAATTTTTTTTTTTTTGGTAAAATGCTTAGCATGCAAATATGGACTACCATAATGTTTTTCTCTCAAAAGTCCCAACCAAAGATTAATTATGTTTTAACACTACTTATCAAAATACTAAAGAAAGCTAAAACACATCTCACTTTGTTACCAGCCTTGTTGAATTACACATATGTCTGCATCCATATTATCTGAGTCAACTTACTTCATTTTATGTAGTATACAAATGAGTCCCAACAATATTTTTTACATACTGGACTAGGAAAGAGTATATATATATAATATATATATATATATAATTAGATACGTATTTATATAAATATATATATATATATTTTAACCATACAAGTCAAAATTATAAACATAAATAAACAACTAAACCAACAAAATATTTTACAAGTAGATAAAAGACAATCAGCTTTCACCATTTACCTAAACAAGGGTCTAGCAAATTGTGTTGTGTGTAATGGGGTGATTGAATAGGTGGCTAAAGTCATTGCAGATTACTGTCTTCACAAAATGACAATCACACAGTATCAACTTAGAATGCATACACACATTTAGATTCATCAGTCACGATCCAAGGAATGAAGGACAGGTTCAGCATGCTATGGGGATAGCTAGAAGGAACTGTATATGTCAAGTGAGAGGTAGAGATAACACAGGTAGTAAACTGAACATTTTGCGATGTCCATCTTGACTAAGAAACTTAGGAAAAACTAAAGAAGTTAGAGCTTACGTTGGCCCTTGAAGTAATACAGAAAGAATAGGTCTTAGATGATGTAGTTAACGCAGCACAAAGGATGACATCTCAGAAGGAGAAACGGCAAAGGCATGTGAATAACACACACAGGGAAGAATAACTAGGCTTTTGTTTACAAAGAGGACAAGTGGGGAAAAGTAAGAGATAGGAAGACATGCCCTGAACATTCCATAGTCTCTCTAACTAAGACTTTCCTTTGAGCAAATTGTTTAAATAAAAGTCATCATAAAGTCGTCTCAGAGACTTGTCAGCAAGCATTGTCACATTATGTTTAATGTAATTCTTCTTCCCTCTATTTGAGCAGAGTATCACAACTATCCACAGGAACCCTCTGTATTTTCTACAGCAATGGAATTTCTTTAAAAAGTTGAAAGGAGAGCCCACTGTTGACAATATGGTGATACAAAAGAAGTTTAAGGAATATCCAGCTCCTCCCCAAATTTTGCATACACCATGGCCAATTCATAAAAGTGTATCAAACAATTCTTAATTAGATCCTTACAATTAAAGGATGGAATTGTGGGGGGCACCTGGGTGGTGCAGTTAGTTAAGTGTCCAACTCTTGATATCCACTCAGGAGATGGTATGTACTGATGGGCAGGCTTGGTATTCTGCCTCTCTTCTTGTCTGCCCTTCCTGTCTGCCTCTGCCACCCCCCATATATACCTGCTTGCTCTCTCTCAAAATGAGTAAATAAACTTTAAAAAGTGTAAACAGAAATGATAGAACTTTTTCATATTGATAATATCAATTGGACACGACAAAAATGATATTAATAAATCTTTTTTATTTTGAAACAACCTTGAACCCACTTCTTTAGGCAGAAATAGAGGGGTACAGAGTTAGGTATTCCAGTAAACATTACAGACTGGCAATATATACCAATAACTAGTGGTAGAAAAAAACAAACCCTCAAATCTATTCATGTGTATAATATTTTTTACTTAGGAGGAATTAAGTAAAATGTAAATATTAAGCTTTTTGTTAACTCCTCTAAAGCATTATAATATTTTTCTTCCAAATATTTCAAGCAGATTGCACATGTGGTTTCTTTATTAATGTATTATTAACAATGATGAGTAATATGAATATATCAATGGACAAATGCATGTTTATGATTCAGGAATTGTTTTAAATACTTCCTTTGTAGTTTGCCACTTTATTTACATGGTAATCATTTGTGGTGGTCATGAGAATGTACCTATAGACCTCAAAGCACAGGACATTTAATTGACTAAGTGTTTGTGCTGCTTTGGTCTGAAATCTATTTCTGCATCTGCCCCCAACTAGTGACTGAGTGCAGCAGAGATAATAATCAGGGACATCACTAGAAGACACAGGGCTCCTCTGATGGCCAAGTTTGTCTCAGGATTCCCCAAAACCCTTGTTAATCTTTCTTAGGCTGTACTTCATGCTCGAATGCTTTCCTCAACTGTCTTAACATCCCCTTCACTCTGGGTCACACATGCTTCATGACTAACAGCTTTTCCAGCCTTACTCAGTTTCCACCCCATTTACTCTGATAGATATTTCCCTTAATAAAATCCTCTTGCATTTAATCTATTTTTTGCATCTGCTTCTTGGAGAACCCAGATTAATACATCATATAATTTTTATACTATAAGTATTCCTACTCTACAGATTGGGGACCTAGGGTCTGAATAGTTAAGTAACTTTCCCAAGGCAACATTTTGTTAAGTGTGCAGCAAAGGTATGAATCCAGGGAACGTGAGGTCCAAAATACAATCACTCAATAATTATTAATGAAAAGTCTTGAAATCAATTAATATAAATTGTGATAAAATTAGCTTGGTGCAGAGTGGTTTTTTTTAATCCTTTCTTTTGTTTTTTCCTGCAACTACAGCATTTTCAAATGTTTTACTATTTATAATTAGGAAAGGATGTACTATTTTCTTCAAAAATCTCAATAAAGAGTTGTATATTTCCAGCTGGTGGGGCGAAAAGAAACTAACAGAAACTTCAAGAGTGCTATAAGATTTTCCTGTTTTGGGGCACCTGGGTGGCTGAGTCAGTTAAGCGTCTGACTTTGGCTCAGGTCATGCATGACCTCATGGTTTGTGAGATCAGTCCCGCGTTGGGCTCAGTGCTGACAGCTCAGAGCCTGGAGTCTGCTTTGAACTCTCTGTCTTCTCTCTCTCTCTCCCCTTCCCACTCATGCTCTGTCTGTCTCTCTCTCAAAAATAAATAAACATTTAAAAAATTAAGAAAAGGTCTTCCTATTTCTCTAGAAACATAAAGTGAGCAATGGAAACTTAGTCTTGAATCTTAATTTTAAATATAGTAAACTCTTGAACAACATTAGTTTGGACTTCCCCGGGTCCACTAATACATAAATTTTATTTTTCAATAAATACAATATTATAAATATATTTTTGCTTCCTAATTATTTTCTTAATAACATTTTAATTTTATTTTCTTAGCTTACTTTGTTTACTGTAAGAAATGTAGTATATAACATATATAAAAGGGAGTCAGACAACATGGTGAAGAAGGTATCCATACTTCCCACATCTCTCAAACAAAGAAGGGCAGAAGCCAAAGGACTTTGAACCCCAAGAGTCTGGGAGGAAAAGAGAAGGAGTCGACCAGGAAGAAAACAGGAAAACCGATGGCCCCATAGGTGCGTGACTGCGAACTGGTGGAGATAGAACTGGCAGTGGAGGCATGGTGGGGAGGGATCTCATTCTACAGAGAGACAAAGGGAAGAGAAAGAGAGGCTGGGGAAGCCTAGAACCATATCTGGACAAGAGAAAAAACTCAGACCAGGACAGAGAGGGAACCCATCATCCCATCTCTAACTGCAGGGCTTTCTTTGGAGTGGGACCGGCTGCTCTGTTTGCATACCTGGGGAAGAGGGGAGTCACCAATGGATTCGGTGGTACATCAGGGGCACAGTCAGCAGCAGGAGGAACCCCTCCTGCCCTGAAGTGCTGCTGTACAGCCGCAGGAGCATATATTGTTCAGTAATATTAACAAGCATGGAGTGGAAGTTTAAAACCTAAGCCTGGGACATAGGAGACGGTGGAGTGAGACAGCTGGCCTAGTCTGCACTCTTGGCACAGTGAGGATGAATCCAAAGGAGTGATTTGGACACCTGGTCCATAAAGAAGGGACTGGGGGTGGCCGTTTTTCCCCTCACAACCACCAAGGCAGAGCCTCAGGGATCCTCAGTGGGGATCCTCCTCCACTGTGGAGTGGAGGTGGACCTGCCTACACCAAACCATACCCCTCAGTGCTGGGTTACCATTTATCTACTGGAGCTGGATAGATGCTTTGGAACCAGTCTTCCCCCCCGCCCCCCCGCCCAACTTCCCCCTGCCCCCAGACCAGCACTGCATCATTGCGTGGATTAACTCTAGGTCAATTCTTGTATTTAGATATTTTCTCCTCCTTATCTCTTCCCTCTTCTAGGCTGGTTACTGGTTTGCTTGAATAGACATATTTAATCTATTTTCTTGATGCATGTTCTACACCTCCTTCTTTACTTTCCTTTCTCTTTCTCTCTGAAATAATCAGGACATATAGTTTCTCTAGGTAACATTATCTATGCTTCTTTTTCCTCTCCTTCCTTATTTGCCTTTCTCTCTCACTGGATTAAGCCTTTTACTCTCTGCCTGGTTAATGTTCATATTCTCTTTCTACTCTCCCCTGTAATTTGTCTCTTTGTATATGCTCTTCCATCAGCACCTCCTCCGCTCTGTTCTTTACTTGCAGCTGGTGTTTCTGGTTTTATGTTTTAGACTGTCTTTTGTTTTTTGTTTTAGTTTGCTGGTTTGTTTGTGTGTTTGCATGTTTTTGTTTCCTGTTTTTCTGTTTTCCTTTCCAGGGCTACTTCAAGGAATAAACCAAACCACACTTGGTGTAGGGTCCAAAACATCACTACAAGAAGGGAAATAAAATAACACAGAGAGTCACAACAGAGAGCAAGTAACATGCTCTAAAAAACACCTCCTGAACGGCCAGGCCCTGGACAGTATATGAAACCCCTGTTTATATAGCAGTACTTGCAAGTGCAGAGCACATCGCAAGCTTTCAGACCTAACAAGGGACAAAAAAACTAGCCAAAATGATGAAACAGAAGAA